TGACGTTTCGGATTCCCTCGGGAATCCTTAATCATAGGCGATGATAACATAGTCATGATCATGCGCAGATGGGGTGAGGACATGCACAGGCTGCACGGTATTTATAGTTCATAGTGGTCATCCGCGTGTGTGATAATTTTTCACTTCTGAAGCCATCGCTAGGGTCTTTATTGATGCGGTACTGGCTTGACACTTTGCGTTCGACTCACTATATGCCATGTCAGCGTAGGATGCGGGCCTGATAATTGCGTGACAATTACGCCCGCTGTCGTTAGAGTTGTTTCTGCACCCAGCCCTTCCCACGTTACTGATTCTCTTTCTCAGGAAACTTCTCAGTACACCATATTGGAACGCCAACTCATTGCGCTTGTTGATGGACTGGGGGCCTGAGAACCATGACTCGGGCAGCTCGCGGCTCACGCAGTTGTCACCTCTTGCGAGGAGTTCGGCCTCCTCAACCTTTAAGATATGGCCGAGTCCCGTCAAGTAAACTGCAACCTTGGAATTGGCGTCTTTCTTCCTCGCCGCCGCTGCATACTCGGTCATTCGCGTCCTGAGTAATCTTCCGGTTTCTCCGACATAGGTGCTTTGTCCACAGCTACACCAGATCCGGTAAATGACTTCAACCGTTTTTTGCCGTGGCAGTGGGTTGGTTGACCCGGCGCCTGATGGTTGCTTCTGGCCTGTGCGCAACTCCAAATCCAAGTGAGGTGAGTAGGCGGCTGACCGCTTCCGATACATTCTTTACGTACGGAAGAGATCGGCAATGCTGCAATGCGTCTCAACGCGCCGGTAAAGCGCTCTTACACAACTGCGTTTGTGACCAATTTGGTGGTTGCTGTTGTAGTTCAGGATTTGCATTGTAATGGTTGCTTTCCTGAACACTTTAGTTTTTAGGGCACCACCATCTTTGCGGCAAACGAGGACCTCCAGGAAGGCCAGCTGGTTGTTCTGTTCTTCCTCCATCGTAGATTGAATGCCCGGGAAGACGGCGTCTAGACGCTCTTTGCATGTCAGCACCTGATCCCGTTCAATTACGACGAAGGTGTCGTCCACATACGGAGCCCCGAATTTCAGTCTGTGGTGTTGGAAAACCCGCGACTCCAACCGTTGCAGGACC